TTGGTCTCTGCCCCTTCCCTCGTTCTCCTGCTCTATCGCTCTCTCTCGGTCCCTGTCCCGTTCCCTCATTCTCTGGCTCTGTCGCTCTCTCTTGGTCTCTGCCCCTTCCCTCGTTCTCCTGCTCTATCGCTCTCTCTCGGTCCCTGTCTCGTTCCCTTGTTCTCTGGCTCTGTTGCTCTCTCTTGTTCCTTTTCTTATTCCTTCATTTTCTCTCTCGTTCCTCTGTTCTCTTTTTTGTTCTCTCTCTCACTCACTCTCTTTCCTTTGGTTCCTCCCTCCTTCCTTCATTCTCTTGTTTCCTTTTTCCTTCTCTCATTCCCTCTCTCTCTCCCCCCAGCTGGCCACAAGACGATTGTGCGGAAGAACTGTGTGGACGAGGTGAAATGCAGCACCCAGGACACGGCCACCTGGGCCGGCGTCACCTATACCACCTCCTACACCTGCTGTGAGGGCGATTTCTGCAATTAGGCCAGGGCCCCGGAGCACCCCTGGGGCCGGCGCCTCTGACTGCCCCCCATTTCAGGGCTCGGATTTGTCTTGCGTGCCCCCAAATTTCACCTCCCTTAAAAACGACTCGCTGACGTCAAAATACAGAAGTGTCCCAGCCCACTGTGACAGAACAGTGGCTGACGTTCTCAGTTTGATGCTATAATTAGAAAATAAATCAATTGGAATAGAAATCCTGTGCTTACATTTCTGTGTATAGGACATAAGAACGTAAGAGTGGCCAGATTGGGTCAGAGCAAAGGTCCGTCTAGTCCAGTGTCCTGTCTCCGACAGTGGCCCATGCCAGGTGCCCCAGAGGGAATGAACAGAACAGGGAATTTTTCCCTGTCGCCCATTCCCAGGTTCTAGCAGTACAGGCGAGTCTCATCTTACGCGTATTTAACATGCGCGAATTCAGCGTTGCGCGGTCGGCACAAAAAAAAAAAAGAGAGAAAAATAACAATTTAAATACTGTACCTGTAGTGCAGGCGATTCCGCCCGCCATTCCACGCAATCTAATTTTGACTATAGGCGATTTTCGCTTTAGGCGCTGACAGCGGAACGTAACCCCAGCGTAAGATGAGACTCGCCTGTATAAACAAGTCATCGTCTGTAGGAAATTTTAGTTTGTGGTGATTCTGAGTTTGGACGGGGACCGAGAGAGAGCGACAGAGCCAGAATTTTTTCTGTAGCCTGTTGTCAAACGAGGCAAATATCGAGAGGAGTTGATGGACTGCCTGGAAGAGCTCTTCATACCCCCGGTGGACTTGTACCCCTGTTGAGAACCGCTGCTCTAGGCATTTAAGAAACACAACATGCAGGTGTGCAAGGGATTCAGCGAGACTTGCGTTAAGCCTAAGGCAGTCAGGCTGGAAATATCCGGGGATTGAAAGCTATTTGAGTGCTTAAAATGCAACTGGGCACCAGGTTCCTGATCCCCCTAACTCTGATTTCATAGATTCATAGATTCTAGGACTGGAAGGGACCTCGAGAGGTCATCGAGTCCTGTCCCCTGCCCTCATGGCAGGACCAAATACTGTCTAGACCATCCCTGATAGACATTTATCTAACCTACTCTTAAATATCTCCAGAGATGGAG